TTGAAATTCTACTTTTGAAAAACATGAAGTTGTCCATATTTACAACATGAGCTCCAATGTACTGTATTTATTAGTAGTATTTGAAGATGGGCATTAAACAAAGATAGAGCAGAAAAAACACTTCTTGAGAATATTTATGACATATACTAGGTTGTCCATTATCGACTAGATTGCATATAGTTGAATTAGGTTTCATTTTGGTATTACACTTGATGTAATTATGTGTGTTTAGTTACTTGAAAGACATTCAAGCATGCAAACAGACACAAATTATTAGTCGGAATGATAATTGAGTCCTAATGACACAAATCAGTCTTATATGAATTGATACGTGTGAAAGTGATAGATCATCTTGTTTAGGACAGGATGAGATATGTCATATGTCTTAATCTCTTCTTAGCTTTTGAAAAGATACATGCTATTTAAAGAAATGCTATGTCTAGATTGGATACAATCTTTAAATTTCAGAACTTCTCTTGTGCATTAATCGATGTTTAAGTTGGATGTAGCTAGGTCATTGAAATAAAGAGATGGAGGCTTAATCCTTTTAGTCATTTTAAAAAGACCTCATCATATAGTTTTTAATCTCCTTTTAGTCATTTTAAAAAGTTCTTTATGTCAAAATCTATATGGAGTAAATCCTTCAAAGTCTTAGCCTCTAAATCCCTCAAAAGGCTTTAATCTAAGTTGATCATAATTAATACATAACCCAAGAAAAATATAAAGGCTAAATGAATTAGTTTGAATAACAAGGAATTATGCGTATTTAATTTAATCATTGTGCTCCTTATTTTTTCAATTTTTGTTAACAATAAGGTAATTGGGGGAGATAGAAGTTGCTACTCTGATTTAAGATATTATCCAGCCTTACATAGATCATAAACCAGAAAAACATGTCAGGTATGTACAATTAATAGAACAATACACTTTTTATCTTAATAGTCTTTCTTGTTACTCCGTATAATATATTAGTCACTAACAATATGTCTCTCTTGCACAGGTATGCTAGTCAGGAAAGTTTAACTCTTCAAAGATGATTACGACGCGCCTGGCCATGATGCTTACTAGTTACTACTCTATAGAGTTTAATACTTTTGTAATCTACTATTTTGTTGAGTATGAAGGGAAATTTTTAGTTCATAGTACCAGCTTTGATACTCTGGAGATTTTTCTTGTCCAAGTTCTACAAATTTATTACATTAAGATGAACTCTTAGTTCATCCACTATTATACGAACTTAAATTTGCTTTTAATTTCAGGCTGATATTTGTAAAGCTATTTTGGAATTGTAAAATTATTTAATAGGAACTATCCTACTTCGTTTGAAAAATTTAGATGAATATTGTATCATTCTATACATGTTGTGTATGTACGAAAGTGCAACCCAATTCTTGGAAAAAATGTCACAAATCGTTGAAATTGACGTAGCATATTAGAAAGGGTCAAATGAAAAAGGGCCTAGAATGGCCACGTATATTGCATAATCTTACCAATAACGTTGCTTCTAATCCAAGTGTGTTACATAAATTTGCGAATATAGTGTTACATAATCTAAATTAATGTTGCAAGAGGATATAGTAAAAGTGTTACGTATCTATACTTAAAGTGTTGCAATAGTCATATTTTAAGTGTTGCACTTTATTCAAAGAATTGTTGCATAATCATCTTGTTAAAGTGTTGCAAAATAGTGTTGCATATGAAATACTTAAGCAACACTTCTAACAAATGTTACATAATATGCAATAAAGTGTTGCATATGACCTTATGCAACGAGACCTGATGTAGCACCCTTAAAAGTGTTGCTTTAGTTCTTTTGTAACATTTTACCCATCTACTGTAACATTTATGGAGTGTTACAAAAACTCTAAATTGTTGTAGTGAACAATAACAATAATAATAACAATAACAATAACAATAACAATAACAATAACAATAACAATAACAATAACAATAACAATAACAATAACAATAACAATAACAATAACAATAACAATAACAATAACAATAACAATAACAATAACAATAACAATAACAATAACAATAACAATAACAATAACAATAACAATAACAATAACAATAACAATAACAATAACAATAACAATAACAATAACAATAACAATAACAATAACAATAACAATAACAATAACAATAACAATAACAATAACAATAACAATAACAATAACAATAACAATAACAATAACAATAACAATAACAATAACAATAACAATAACAATAACAATAACAATAACAATAACAATAACAATAACAATAACAATAACAATAACAATAACAATAACAATAACAATAACAATAACAATAACAATAACAATAACAATAACAATAACAATAACAATAACAATAACAATAACAATAACAATAACAATAACAATAACAATAACAATAACAATAACAATAACAATAACAATAACAATAACAATAACAAAACAATAACAATAACAATAACAATAACAATAACAATAATACTCCCTTCGTCCCATAAAATTCTTCCCGATTTGACATGGATCGGAGTTTAAGAATGTGTGAATAAAGTGAAAATGTGAGGTTGTGGTTGAGTAAAAAAGGTAAATGAATCTCAGCCAATTTCTATATTAGGAATCATCTGACACTCTTTTGCAAGTCTATCTCGATTGTATGTACAAAATTGGAAGTTCACAATAATAACCAAATTCAAGTTTATTTATATTTTTGAGTCATTTACATATTATAAAGATATTATTTCAACATGTTCATTTTTAATGAAAATGATTCCTTAATGAAATGTGATTTTTTAAGATTCACATTTTTTTACGCTTGAAAGGTCATTTTTTCAAAAAGACCATTTTTATTAGCCAATGATCTATTGTTACTTCCATGTTCTAATTTTGATATTTAAAACCAGTTTAGTAACATTGAAATTAGCTAAATCGTCCGATTCTTTTGAAATTGATGAAATTCTGACAGAAGTGGTTGAATTTGTTGAATATATTGATTTATGGATGAATTTAATTTAAATTATATTTCATTAATGAAGTAAATAAAAAATTATATGAGCAGTAGTTAAAAATGATTCTGTACAGTAACTTCAGTCGAATTTGTCAAACAAAATCATTAAAGCTAAACTTAAATAGATCAAAGCAGTTTAAAATAAACCAAAAATGATAAATCGATATTTTCATATTTGCCCCTTTTTCTTAAAAATAAAGAATTATAATCGTAGGGTTGATGAATTCAAATTACTCGTTGTCTTCGATTTAGACAACTCAAAACAAATCTAAATAGACCAACTCAAAATTTTATTTTATTAGAACTAATTAGTGCACATCAAATCATAAAATACTTTAAGAAAGTTTTCTTAAATAAATTTAGTATTTTTAGATTTTTCCCTTTCGTAGTTTGATTTTGATTTTAGAGACCGTTTAGTAGTACTGAATTTTGTTGAATGTGTTGAAATGGATGAAATTTCGATAAAAGTTGTTGAATTAGTTGAATCTATTGATTTATAGATAAATCTAATGTAAAATAATATTATTAATGAAGTAAAGAAAAATATTATATAAAAAGTAGCTAATAATGAATAGTTACAGTAACTTCATCCAATTCAGACAGCAAAATAGATTATAAAATGCATATAGATAATTTCAAGCGTAATTAGAGACTGTTAATAAAAAAATATTTTTACATATTCAATATTGATCTCATATGAAAGATCACAAAAAGTTATGAATTTTGATATATTTTTTGTAAAAATTGGAACAAAAATGAAAAAGTTATAGCAGTTTAAAGAAAAATTGAGATTTTTTATAGTTTGGTCCCACCAATGCATCTCTACGGCTGCTCCTTCCTATTCCATGGAGAGTCTCGTACATTGAAGCAAAAATGGACACGTGGCATGGCTAGAGCAAAAGAGTGAATTAAGGAGAGCTTGACATCTAGGATTCTTTAGGGATAAAATTGTCTTTAAATGAGCTATTTCTTTTCTTATATATAAATAAATAGAATAGATAGATGTGATGACATTTTTGAAAATATTCAACTTCTAAAAAGTATTCAAATAGTGTATTAGTGTTCGTTTAAAGGTACATCATAATTCAAACAAAATGTGCTAGAACCAAGACTATTTTATAATGATTCCCAGAACATGACTCTAAAAAGCTATTCCAAATCACTCATTTTGAATCAATAATCTTCTATAGTCATTCTTACTTTTTATGGAAAAATTACCTTTCACTTAAACGTATGTATATACGCTCATCTCTATTTTCTACTTATTTATTTACCTCTTCAATTGTTTTTGTCTCTATAGCTCTCTTGCACATAACAAACATCACCCCCACCTTTTTCTTTTTCGTAGCTCATCAACTTTCCGTTCTATCTCTCTTTCCTACTAGAAAAAGCCACAAAATGTAGAGAATCATGTCCACTACTCCACTAGTATAGTAGTATGGTCAATAATTCAACAAGTATTGAGTTTCCCCGTCAAATCTTGACTTCTTAAGATGTCTGTGTAACATTTTTCTGGATTAAATGGCCTTCGTGGAAGGGACTAGTAATGTGTTTGTTGGATAATGGTTGGCCATCTTTATGAGAAAGATTTAAGGAAATTAATCAAAATGAGTGAAAAATAGACAAAGTTCATAAACAGGACAAACATATCAAAATCAGTTGACTTTCAAGGTGTTTTCTTGTGTAATGTGGACCAACATCCAGCAGGTAAGTACTTGGAACACCAAGATTCCAAGAAGTCAAACCCACAATCTTGACCTCATTGTTGCAGGATTGAATGGAAGAAACATATGATATAAGTTAGAGTTTTGATCTAACTCTAATGGAAAGAGAGTGATGTTACATCCCAAGCTATTACTTAGAGTTGAACCGTTGAACCGAGACCTCTCCCTTGTGGCACCCCGGAGAAAGCATATGCCAAAATGCTAAATGACTGCATGCAAGGGCACAAGGAAGCAAATGTTGGGGGGAGGGGGTTTGAAGTGAAAAAGATTTTTGCAAGTTTCAGAATGAAATTCTCATATCATTTACAATGATTCACTACACATCAGATGTCACCATACAGACAATAATATGGTGGGTCATTTCTGTGTGAACTTTAAGCGGAGCAGGGGGGGGGGGCTTTTCACTTACTAGATTCAATTTACATTGAGAAAGGGCTGTCCAATTTCTATCTATAAAGACAGCCCCCCTTCTCATTTCACTTTAGTAGCTAAAGTCAATCAATCATCATATTAAATATTCAGAATACATTACGAATAGAGCATCTGGGTAATCCTTAGGAAGGCTTTTGATGTAGAGGTAGAAGCGCAGCAAATCCTCTTTGGACACGGCATCAGGGTCGACCACATCATCGTTGGAGGTGAGGACCCACAAGTCTCTAGATTTTACTCTCTTCAAGCTGCCCCGACAGAACGGGCAAGACTCCGATCTCGTATTCCTATAAGTTGAGATCAATGTGGGTTCAGGGAAAGGTACAAAAAAGAGTATGCAGAAAGGTGTTGAGTTAAAACAGGACAGGAGGATGGATAACTTCTTCAACTTACCAGTCCTTGTAGCAATTCATGCACAAAGAATGGCAACAGTTGGGCAAAACCATTTTGGTGCAAGTTTCTAAGCAAATCCCACACTCAGCCTCTCTATCCTTATCAAAGTCAGCAAATTTTGAATCCCCTCTCAATCTTTTCTTCCCCTTGCTTTCCCGCAAGTGGTTGTCATCCTTCGCGTTCCTCCTATGTTCCACCAAGTCAAAATGGAGTCGACGGAGTGACGGCAATATAACAGCTGCAATTTTATTTTACTTTGTCAGTTGTTTGAGACTGGCCAAATACAATTTCAGACTTGCACATAAAGCATTAAGCTACTCCTATTAGATTGATTTGAGTCAAAAAATACATGGATTTCATGAATGATCACCCGACAAGCTAACATCTTACAGAAAAAACTTTGGGTTACTCATCTTATCAGGTTGACTTTCTAGGATGTATACCGAAATCCTAATAGATATATCAAGGTAAGAGCTGAGCACCCAAAGCACTAACACAACAAGCATTCTTTGTCTTTTACATACCGTAAAAATCACTAATAGTTGCCTTCCTTCCATGTCGGGACAGTTTTAAACTTCCTTCGGCATCCACCTGCCAGAGATAGGAAGCTCTAACTAGATATTTCTTGGGGAAAATAACTATGATGGTCTAAACAGCACTTGACTGGAAAGTGCCATAAACAGGACATGTTAGGGCCTCACCTTGTAGATGAGGATGTAAACAGGATTTAGGTACTTGAGAAGCAGAAAAGAGAATGAACAATCAATCCACCGCAGGAAAAAAAGAAAAACAGGTGCTGCTAACTGATTGTAAACCAGTTCCATTTGAAGGCATGACCCTCCTTTTTGTCTTGGAATTGCAGCCGCCCTGCAACACATATTACCATTGCAGCAAATTAGGACACCAATGGCATTTAAACCAATTCTCCTAATAAAACCAATCCCAAGTCCCAACCTTCACTTTATCCTATAACAGAAGTTGAGTTTTGAAAATTGTAACACCATTAATTTTCTCACAGTATGTGGTAAGTGGTAATTATTATAAGTATGTTTATCAGCATTAGACAAAGCATGAGGTGATTTAATCCAAACTGGTAATGATAATTACAGTTCTAGCAAACCTCAATTTCCATATAAGCACTTTAAGCCATATCTATTAATCATTTAATTTTTCAGAAACTTGAATTACTATAAAAAGGAACTCAATTATTACCCGATTCAGCACTCAATACATAACCAAGGCAAAAATGCTTGAGGTACACACTTTGTGTACACACTTTGTGTACACTCGTCTGTCTCTTAAGAAAATTTTGTCTGTCACAGACAATTCATATATGAGTTGTCTGTGACAGACAAAATTTTCTTAAGAGACAGACGAGTGTACACAAAGTGTGTACACAAAGTGTGTACCTCTAGCATTTCTCTAACCAAGGAGCCCCCAAAGGTCAGAACCGTGTAGAAATTATAAAAAATAAAATATAATAACTGAAAAAGAACTAGCCTCCTAAATTTACCCTAACCATTAATCTGTTCTCCTGAAAAGGGTGGGGAAAAATATGAGCAAAGAAATAATTTTTCCTCCTAAAACTCCAAAATCTTCACAGAAATCACCCACTTTCCTCATCCATAAAAACCCATAAATTGAAACGAGTAAAAGCGACTTACAGAGCATTAGCGAGCTGGATATCCGCCTCAAGAACTTTCAAGGACTCCTGATAGGAGTTCCTTCCGAGCTGATAAAGCATCATATCCATAGCTCTCCTCTCCCTGTCAGCGAAGTCGTCTGGTTTTCTTCTTCTTCGCAGTCAATTTAATTCCTTTTGTTTTCTGGGGACAAGTAAAAAACAAACCCAAACAAAAAAAATGATTCTTTTTCGTGGAGAAAAGCTCTATGAATTTCCGGTTTCTTCTCTTTAAATGAAAGAGGAAAACCCCAATCTTCTCTTCAATAAAAGACAACGCAGACTATCTTTGGCAGCAAAATAAAAGCAAGAAGATATCGAAGCGTCTCGGTCAGGGACGGCTTTGAAATTTGAATAAGTGGTTTGAGTTTTCCTTTTTTATCCTTTTCTTTGGCCGTAATCAATATATAGTCCGCATAATAAACAAGATAATGTTTAAAAACAGTTGCTGTTTTTTCCATAAAAAGAAAGAAAATGGCAGGAATTAAAAATTGTGTTTAATTGGGTTGATAATGATGATTTGCTGTCATCATAATCTTGATATAAATGTTTGCTTTTCAATCAAGCCGTTTTGAAATGATAATTGATTCAGGATTTAAAATAAATTAAATATTATTAAAGGCATAATTAATTACTTTGGTGCCCTTTGACACACTCCTGTCATTTTTAATAAGGTATTAGTTAATTCCTTCAAGTTAAAGAAATTTAAAAAAATTCTTACACTTAGATGAAAGTTAGAATCAATCATCTTTCGCTTATTAATATACCAAACTACAATTTTTCAAAAAACAAAATATACCAATTACCAAACTACAATCATTTGTAAAAATGATATACATTAACGCAGTAATCTCATACTTTTTTATAAGTATAAAAGTATTAAACTACAAATATATCCTGTTGATCACAGGTCATAAGGCAATGGTTAAGCATTAAATATTTTATGATTTTTTCAAAAATACTAAATGATTGAATGTTTTTATAAAAGCTAAAGCTAACGTGTTCATGAACAAAATCGCATTTTTATATGCAAAATCAACATTTCGCATGAACAAGTCATAAAAACATTCATTACAATTAGTCACTAATAATATTTCCAAGGAATATGTTTAGCATTTCCTATTATATAAACATATAATAATAAAGTGAAGAAATTATTTTTGCATTAAGATATTAAATAAGGCATTAAAATATAATACATCTTCATTATTTGCTATTTATAATAATGAATACTTTAATTTTGATTATATCTGAAAATCTATGCATATAAGCACAAAGTCATGACAAACCACATATAATATTCCGATGCAATCTCATTCTTTTTAATGGGTAGATCATTGCATAATTATTTAGTCTTGATGCACTAATTATGGTGTTGATATGTGCTTAACATTTAACTAGTTTTGATTTTTGAAAACAGTCTCTTATTAAAACAGGAAAAATTTGACCTCTAATTATCCTTGGCATGGGATACTTTTTCAAATTCTCATCTTGTTGGGTGCTAATTTAACGCACACAAGTGTGGCATAAATATATTCTAGTATACTCCGTATTAGAGCATCTCCAATGATAAAATGTGCACGGTGCACACGTGGCATGAAAATTAGCCACATAAATATTAGTAAATAAATTCTTTTTCTCCTTATTTAAATGATTTTATACAGTTTTGGTAAGTTTTTCTCCACACTGTCAAGGAGACCGTCTAGATGTTGACATTGTTGTTGACATTGCAGGGAAAAACTTACCAAAATTGTATAAAATCATTCAAATAAGGAGAGAAATAATTTATTTGCTAATATTTATGTGGCCGTTACTCATGCCACATGTGCACCGTGAACATTATGGCATTGGAGATGCTCTTATAGTGGGACCATAATTTAGTAGGTGGATACTATAAAGGATAATTGTACTTAACACGTGTCAATTTACATGTTTACATTCGGGAAAAATTACGGACTTATTTCAATCCCTAACTAGACAATAACATATCAGATTTAAATAGATTAGATTATAACAGATCAGATCATACTTCAAACATTCAATGCACCATGCATCTATCATATTTAAACAGATCTCACATGATAATTATGATTTAATGCTTTATAGATAAAAGTAGGATTGGGTAGGATAAATGAAAATCGAAACCGAATCAAAATAAATCGAACCGCAACCAAATTAAATCGAACCGAAACCAAATGTCAAAAATTGAACCAAATCGTAGCTGTTTAGTTCGGTTTTCATTTTTATCCTTCAAAATCGAACCGAACCAAATAAACCGAATTAATTAAACTATAAAATTTTATTTGTTAATCCTTAAGCATTAATTCTATTTCTAATATCATTGGTAGTCTTTGATTTTCTTGTGTTATAAAATTAATTTTTTTTTATATTTAGTTTATTTTATAAGTGCATTTACACATTCATTGCGTATAATAATGTAGCTATTGATATATTATGTCATTTATGTATGTAATTGCCAATTCGTTAAATCACAGTGATATGTTACTACAGGTTATTACTAGTAATATTAATTTTTATGTAACTAAAAGTTTTTATATTGATAAAAACAAATAAATATTCATCTCAACTATATAACATAGAACATACATATTCTTGAACTTTTTCCAAACTATTCACAACAAATGTAAAACAAGGATATAAAAGTGTATTGCCTCTTCTGCATACTCATAAAAGTCAAGACATTAATTCTTTTTTTTATTTTTTTTATTTGTTCTAATATGTTTACATTTTTATGTAATATGTTTGATCCCCAACTATTGTATCATTTTAAATCAAATAACAATTTTTTAGTAAAAAAAACCCGAAAAAACGAAACTGAATCAAAATAAAATGAATCAATCAAATTGTGGTTCCAAATTTGAAGTGTAAAATCGAAACGAAATCGAACCGGACTTTTTACTTTTATTTGGTTTTTGGTCAACACGTAACTGAAACAACCGAAATCATCCCTAAATAAAAGGGGAGAGTCATGAATAGTATGTCATCAATTTGTCAACAACCGTTGAAAGATGGTGAGATGCAAAGGTTAAATTATTTCATATATTATGATTAAGTGGAATTATTCCAAGAAGATGGATAGGCCTTCATCTAACAAAAGTTAGATGTTGGGATACTTGCACATAATTGCATACATACATGATAATTGATACATACATACAATTTGAGACTTTTTTTTTATTTGAAACTTTCAACATCTCCATTCACTACTGTTCTTGAACCTATTTTAAATCATAAAGAATTGTGTTCGAACTGATTTCTACTGGATCCTGACTTTCGGGTCTGATTCAAGTTGGTTCGATTTCGATTCAGTTTTTTTATTGCTCTGTTTGGGTTTTTTGGTTTGGTTTTTGGGTTTTCGGTTAAAAATGTCAGCCCTAGGCTAGACAGTCTAACTCGTGTTTGTATTGATCTAATTAATTTTTTGAAATAAAAGAGCGGCTTTTAGATTAATATCAATAAAACATACTATGTACAAGACAACATCTTGACAGTTACAACAGATCCAATCGTAAGTCCTAGTAATACACATAAAATCAGCCACCTCATACAAAGCGATCTGATTCGCTAGACACAAAACAGACAATTGTAAGCCTAAATCGACCGGAACCGAAATATTGCCTATCAAGAGTACAAAAATTCAAATATCAAAATCAAACTTAATTACTCGAACTAAAATAAAAACAAGTACTATTAAAGAAAAAGTAATGCTGGAATAAAGTCCTTAATTTCCATAAAACTCTTCCTGGAGCGGAGATGGTTTTGGAGGAGGGCGAGTTGTTGCCACATGGTTGAACATTAGATTCTTCTAATTTCTTCGATCTAAAAAGGCATAGAAACAACTGGAGACACACACTCTTCATGCCTCTTTCATACTCTACGCAGCCCAAAGAAAACAGACAAACTTCTGACCAGACGAAACTGACGGGGACACCAAATTAAGCAACTCTCTACATTGAGGGAGACAAAACACGCTGGAGCACTAGGTCCCAGGAAAGAACAAACATAGAACATAACAGACATAACAACAAAAGATGAACAGTCAAGTTGGGTCATACTCCTACCAAAAATCTCCACGAGCGGTGTTACCTTCAATCTAGCTGGAGAGAGAACGACTACAAGGGAACCCTCCTCTTCCCAATTGCCCGCTCATCCTGGTCGCAGTATCAACATAGATCTGTGATACATTGATCCTGTCTAATTTATACTCGTATTAAATTATTGTTGAAGTTCAATTTTCCTGGTAGACCTTCATGCTTTTAATAATGATTTAAACGTGTTTTTAGTTCCTGCAAATATTGTTCATTTTGTTTTAAGTTCTTGTAAAATATCTTTTTTGTTTTTAATCTCTGAAATTTATGCTGATTTTCTTTTTAGTCCATCACCGAGGATAACAACATCCGTTTAACAACTAAACAACCCCAACTAATACGGAGTAGCTTTTTTTCTGATTCTTCGTCATTTCATTCAAAAACTCTTCAATTTTTATTTTGAAAAAGAGTTTAATACATATTTTATTATGATTGGTTTTACATTATTTTAACATCATATTAGTCTCAAAAAAGTTAAAATAGAATGAATTAAAGTATCTAATAAATTTGTGTAACCGATAATATTTTTTCCTAAATAGAGTGATTTAGGAATTAGAGACGATCTAAAAAAAATAATGTATGTTTGATGGATGAAAACAAAAAAGCATTTTAGAGAGACCTCATATATTTCAGGTATTTGCAAAGACTAAAATTTGCGGGAACTAAAATTTGAGCTTTTAATAATTGACTAATTGAGTAATTACTAATGAGTATCGTTTTCTCTTGTGCGCGTCTGCCGTCATTAAAGTTAATTTTCCATCCCCTCACCTACCCAATACAAATGCATCTTTATTTATACCTTTTCTTCACACTAATTATGAAAATTAGTGATGTAATAAGTTTTATTTCAACAGGAGTTCCTGGCCCACCATAATAATTTCTTGAGAACTAAAAACAAAACGCATGAATTTTGGTGGACGGCGGAGGGTTGATCAGTCCACAAATCCAACTTATTCATTGAAGTCCCCAGCAACATGCATACATCACCATTTGAATATTTGATTAAGTCTAGTCTGATTCAGTCGTTTTATGCCTTTTTAATCTAGTCCAGTCTTTTCAGTCCTTTTAAGTTTAATTTATTCTGGTTTGGTCCAAATAGCTAATTTTAATTTGTTCAGCTTCAAATAGTTCTAGTGTCCAAACTTGTGGTAATTTTATTTTATCTTTAAATTTAATTTGATCAAGGAGATAAAAATAAGAATATATACTTACTCAAATCTTCCCCTATCCGGGATGTTTTTACTTGAATTGGATTTTTATTTTATCTTTAAATTTAATTTGATCAAGGAGATAAAA